TTCCGGGAGCTTGCGCCTCCCCTCGTTGGTGTTATTTGTGAGTCGTCTCCACGAGACACTACAGACGTCACGGCATGGGTAGGACAACTGCCGCATGTCGACGGGGGTAGTTTGCCAGGGCTCCTGCATGTATAGTACCCTTTCTCCGCTTGATCATTTCCCTCGGTACCATAAAGCGATCCCAACACCCAAACCTCTTCGATTCGTGAGTGGCCCTGTTAGTGTTCCCCAAAATAGCACAACGACATTTGGCTTAGATCGCTTCACGGCCTGTAAGCACCTCCAACCTTCTGCAGCATCGCTTGTATAATCCATAAACCCAGAGAGAACTTACGCCAGCAAGAAGACAGCGCGCGAGAACCCATGGCTAAAGAGACCTCTCGGTTTGACGGCAAGTTGAAGGAGTGTGTAAGGAAAGATCCCGTTCATGCATGGGATCATGATGGCACGATTTCCGCGTTTGGCTTTATTCTCGTCTTCGCGGACGCCAGCGACGCATCAGCAAGGTTCCCGAACTGGTTGTACAGGGCTAGGACAATGTTGGCCTCCGACGTGTGGCGAGCTACTTTGACGCGGTCGTTAAAGGCAAACGTGAGTCGAATGGGCAAGACGAGCACGTGCCCGACCAAACGGACAACGAGATCGGTTTGTAAATGCGGAAAGAGTGCGGCGACTGTTTTCCAGTCGACACGTAAACGCACTAACGCCGACGCTTCGACTACCACCATCTCCCGGCCTTCGTCGTTCTCGGCAAAGTCATGGCATACCGCTTCCAGACGAAAGCACTGAAGTTGAACCGATGCAAACTCGTCAGAGTACTGAGTCAATGTCGTCGTCAGCGATTCCATGCCAGCCTACGCACGTGTAATGGCACTCGTTCGGGACACGTGGAACGTACAACGTGGTCGTTGAACTGCATGTCATGCGAAAAGAGGAACCGGAAGTAGGCATTGTGCCGCTCGGACTTGTCATACCCATTCGCCAGCATGCGGAAGTACTCGGCCACCGCCGACTCTTGCGTCCCCCATCGTCGCCCTCGTTCCAAAGACAATAACATTGCCTGAGTTTGCTGCCGCAGGATGGCCACGTCGAGGGCAAGGCGATGGTGCGCGGCCTTCTTGCTCGCTCGATATCGTTTTTGGACATCTTTGCACAGCTGGCGCTGGCGGCGGCGTGACTGGGTTGCGGCGGACGAGGATTCACTACTCATTCCTTGTCGAGGTTGACAAAGTAATCTGTCGAGTGATGGCAATTCCTCGTCGTAGAAGTTGCATAAAAGTGGCCCGCAGGGCGATGTGTGTTCAAAGCGCCCCCCTTGTTTACGGTGGGGCAACATCCCCATGAATATTTCGCCTCGCATGAGACATCCTCAGGGGGGGCGTTTCCACCTCAACTGACATGTCACGCAAGGGCATATCACTGTCTTTTTGGACAGACCTCCTCGGCCGTTCGCTGACCCTTCCGAGCAGACAAGCCATATCTTCGCGACTTGTTGACGAATCCACATATCCGCATTGCCTGGATTGGGCGACTGGGAATGGCAAATGGCCGAGCGATCGCTCCGCCATCACGAGGTCGAACGCGCGCGTGCCAGGAGGTTCCATACCACCCACAACCTTAGTTCTCGAGCAAGGTGGTCGGCAAACAAATTCTCCCACTCGTCCACCCGAGTAAGCCTCTCAAGGATCGAAAATGCTGTCATGCATGAACGCGCGAATCCACTTCCAGACAGGATTTACCCAACTCCAGGAGAGTGCCTGCCACTGGCGCCTCTTGAAGTGAAAAAAGTCTTACACCTCCCACGGTGTGTGGAGATGGATGCCACAACCACCTTTCCGAATAACCCCCAAACCAAAGAATGGAGTTGTTGGATGGCCATGGTTATGGCTCGTGCAAACTTGGGCAGGCGCTAAATGTACGACAAGCATCCTAGACATGATGCTCGACCAACTGGGGGAGGGTAGCCACGGCGCAGGGAAAGCACCGTGGCTGCCTGGCCATGTTGAACTATCCATGTCGATGTGATATGTATTGCCCACGAGACTGACCGCAGCACCGCAGGATCGAGGCATAAACGAGGAGGGACAGAGGCCGTCACCAAAAGCCAAGGACGAAGCGGTCAGCTGCGCCAACTGATGCATCCATGTTGCCATGTCTGGGTTAAGAGTGAGGAGGAGAGTCGTGGACGTTCTGTTGCCTTCCCACGCAGACCGCATATCGCCAAACGCTGGCGCCTACCACCGTCGGTAGCCGTGGTGCCAGGAACATGAGTACTAACAGTACTGTAGCATGTAGCATCGCGTCATTCCCTACTTGCCGCATCTGGAAACACCAAGCAAACTGGAGATATGTCGCTTCCAGTTGGCGAAATCTTGCCGCGTCTGTTTTAGAGGAAATGCTGTTAAATAGACGTAAGTTTTTCTCGCCTACAAGGGTCATTGTCGTTTTAACGTAATTGCGAAGATTCGCATGATATGAGATGTCACACCCATATTTTAGGGAATT